GTGGTGACTTTGTGATCCACCCTGAGCTTGCTTTGCTTTGCTTCTTCTCTTGACTGGTCTTGTGACCATTGCTTGCTCTTGCTATCCCCCACTTCGCCTATGGGGGTGTGTCAAACTTATGTCTTTATATATCTCTAGGCTGTAGTGGGTTTAGCCTTTGGGGGTACGTAATTTCTCTCGACATTCTACTTGTACCCCCCCCTTTCACCTAATGAATCATTCTCGTCACTTATTCTCACAGAGCTGGTCGGAGGAGTCTACGCGCGCAACAAGAAGCTAGCATGCCGACGGCAAGCGAGGCCTCCCGCACTTCCTCGGATGGTGTCGTTGTAAATTCCGGCGAACACTGGGCAACTGCGACGATGTTCGACACGTCGGCGGTACTGATTTTCACGGGACAAAACTACTCCGCGTGGAAGTTTAAGTTCCAAGTGCTCATGATGGAGCGGGGACTTTGGGGTTTCTTCGATGGAACGGAGAAGAAGCCGGACAACAAAAGCGACATCGCGGCATGGAAGAAGGACCAAAAGGCGTTCGCTACGTTGATTTCGCGCATCGGCATCAATCTCGTAAGCTCGGTGCGCATGTGCATCAAGCTCGAAGCATCGGCGCATGAAGCGTGGAAGCGGCTCGAGACGATGCACGTGAACAAGACTCTCCACGGCAAGATCCTAGCCCGGAATGCATTCTACACGGTGAAGATGCACGCAGGCGAATCGATGCATGAGTATGCGACTCGTGTGGAGGAACTTGGGGAAACGTTCATGGACCTCGGTGGAACTGTCACGGAGGAGAATTGGATTTTGACCTTGCTATGCGGCCTTCCGGAAGAGTGGTCGACGGTGATTACGACACTCGATAGCGTGCAAGACACTTGGACGAAGGAAATGGTGGTCGGTCGGCTTCTCCATGAAGAATCGCGTCGCCGACAATTCGCTAATGAGAGCGAAGGTGCCGCCATGTTCTCCGGAGGGAGTTCCGGAAAGAAGTCCACGTGGAGCAAGGGTCCAACAAAGAAGTTGTCCGGTGGAAGCGATCGCGGCAAGAGAAACACATCGAATGGCTCAAGCAAGTGCCACTATTGTGGCAAGGCGGGACACTTTTGGCGTGAGTGTCGGAAGCGCCCGAGCGATTGGACTCCATCGAAGGCGCGGAACCACGAGGGCAACGCGCACACGGCATCCGGCGATGCGGATGATTCAAGGGAGTCGATCGTATTATTGGCCGGTGACGGGACCAACACACCAAGCGACGCATGGTTCCTTGACACCGGCGCAAAACAACACATGACGCACTCGGCATCGTTCCTCACCAACGTTGGTGCACCGAGAGACGTAACGCGCGTCGTCTTTGGAAACGACAAGTCGCTACCGGTGGTCGGAGTTGGAAGTACGCGCCTCATCGTCGATGGCGGACCAGTGGACATCACGAACGTGCTTCACGTCCCGGGGTTGAAGGTGAATCTCCTCTCCGTCACTCAACTCGCGAAGAAGGGTGTGAAGGTCACTATCGACAATGCGAAGATGAACCTCTTTTGGAAGGGGAAGCAATTCGTGCAAGGTGTTCTCAACGGAGAACTCTACCAACTCAAGACGCACCCGAGAGTGGCTTCATGCAACGTGGCGCAAGGCTCCAAGGCGACTCTCAAGGTGCGGCATAATCGGCTTGCGCATGCCAACTACGACTCGGTCAAGGAGTTGGCCAACAAAGGTCTTGCGAAGGGATTCGACGTGGCCGCCGGCGATGACGAGAAGGGCGTATGCGCGGCGTGTGTCGAAGGAAAAATGGCTCGCAAACCATTTGGTAGCCGTACCTCACCCCTCGCTAAGGACCCACTTGCGCTTGTTCACATGGACGTGTGTAGACCGATGCGGCATACATCAAAGGGAGGAGCGCGGTTCCTCTTGGTGATGCTCGACGACGCGACGCGGATGTGTTGGACCTGGCTCTTAAAGGCTAAGGGAGATGTGACCAAGGCGATTCAAGAGTGGGCGCTTGAAGTTTGTGATGACGACAAGAAGCGGATCAAGGCTATTTGCACCGACGGTGGCGGCGAATTCGTGAACGCGGAGCTTGAGAAATGGATGAAGAGCAAGGGCATTAAGCACGACGTCACAACACCCTACACACCCCAACACAATGGAGCGGCGGAGCGGCTTAATCGCACGTTGGTGGAACCCGTTCGTTCACTTCTTCAACACTCCAAGCTTGGGAACGAGTGGTGGGGAGAAGCGAGTGCGCTAGCGGCATGGATTCGTAATCGTGTGCCGACAAAGGTGCTACCGGGAACGACTCCATTCGAAGCATGGACCGGAACGAAACCGAACCTATCCCGCCTACGCACCTTTGGGTGCCTTTGCTACTACCATGTACCGGATCCCCTTCGCCACAAGTTGCAACCGAAAGCTTGTGCGGCAATCTACTTGGGAATTGCGGCGAACGAGCGCGCGTGGCGAGTGTGGGACTTGGGTGAAAGGCGCGTCGTCACGTCTCGGGACGTGGTCTTCGACGAAGACAAGTTCCCGACGAAGGAACAACCAACGCCGCAACTCACCGTCGTCCTTCCCGCACGAGAGGAGGATGAATCGATGGAGTTTCCATCACAAGTGGAAAAGGAAGCCGAAAATGGAGGGGGAGAGAACGAGGAGAGCGATGATGACGTGGTGGAAGTGCCATCAACCGCGGCGGCAACTTCCTCAACACCTTCCTCCCATTGGTGTTGACCCGCGAGCAACATATACGTCGCCCCAACACAAAGTACACCGACTATGCTACTGTAGCTGTTGGGGAGTTGGACGAGGAGCTTGCGGCATATTGCTTCGCAACCTTGGGTGATGACCCTCACACCCATACCGAGGCTTTGGCTTCTCCGGATGCGCCACTATGGAAGCAAGCGATGGAGAAGGAACTAGCATCGATCAAAGAGAACGACGTGTTCGAGCTCGTCGACCCACCGAAGGGTGCCTACTTGGTGGGGTGCAAATGGGTGCTTAAGAAGAAGTTGGGAGCCGATGGGAGTGTCGAACGCTACAAGGCGAGGCTTGTAGCTCAAGGATACACTCAACGGGAGGGGGAGCACTATAGTGAGACCTTAGCTCCCGTCGCTAAGGCTACTACTCTTCGGGTGTTGCTCGCGCTAGCGGCATCTCTCAACCTCGAAGTGGAGCAATTGGACGTTTGCACCGCCTTCCTCTACGGGCTTCTCATGGAAGAGGTCTACATGCGGCAACCCCTGGGGTACGATGATGGTAGCGGAAGGGTATGGAAGCTCAAGCGTACCCTCTACGACTTGAAGCAAAGTCCACGCGGATGGTACAAGCGCATCGACGACTTTCTTCTTCAACACGGCTTCGCTCGTAGCGAGTGCGATAGCGCTTTGTACGTGTTGAAGAAGGGGGAGAAGCAATTGGTGCTTTTACTCTACGTCGATGACCTACTCCTCTTCTCCGACTCCAAAGACCTCATTCGGGAGGTCAAGCAACGGCTAGGGGCGGAGTTTGCGATGAGGAACTTGGGGCCGGTCACGTACTACCTTGGGATGCACGTCGACCGTGACCGAGCCAACGGGACCATCCACCTCCACCAAGAGAAGTATGTGAAGGGGGTAGTGGAGAGCTTTGGCATGGGCAATAGCAAATCGGTGGGAACACCACTAGCTACGGGATTTTCTTGCCTCACGGGAGAGGAAGAATCCACCCTCGACGAACCCGAAGGGAAGCGGTTTCATTCGCTAGTGGGCTCGCTCATGTATGCCGCCGTTTCTACCCGTCCCGACCTCGCATACGCCGCCGGGGTGCTTGGACGAGTCGTGAGCAACCCTCATACCGAGCATGTGCGCACGGGAGGACGCGTTCTACGCTACCTCCAAGGCACACCTAACTTGGGGCTCGTGTATGAAGCCGGCCCAATCGAACTCAAAGGCTATGCCGACTCGGACTACGTGGGAGATCCGAGCACGCGTAAGAGTACCTCCGGGTACGTCTTCACCTTGCTTGGGGCAGCCGTGAGTTGGCAAAGCAAGAAGCAACCAACCGTGGCTCTAAGCTCAACGGAAGCGGAGTATATAGCACTCACACAAGGTGCCATGGAGGCAATATGGCTACGGCGTCTTCTAGCGGAGCTTGGGCATCCTCAACCGAACCCAACTCCTCTCTTTTGTGACAACCAAGCCGCCATAAGCCTCTCTCACAACGCCGTCCTTCACGGACGAACAAAGCATATTGAGGTGAAGCATCACTTCATTCGTGAGGCGGTTGAGAAGGGTGAGGTCAAACTCACTTATGTGAGCAACAAAGCTCAACCCGCGGACTTCCTCACTAAACCACTCCCTAAGGACTCATTCCGTGCATGCTGTGGGCGTGTTGGATTGAACACCTAGTGGCTTGGGTGCAAGGGGGAGTGTTGGAGGTTGCGTGAGGCAAGGATTGCCCCCAACCACTGAAAGTGTTCCTTCTAGTGCTCACGGTTGAGTGAGCTGCAAGTTGGAAGTTTCATGAATGTGTTGCAGGTTCCAAGAAGTATGGGTTGACTTCGGAAGAACCTGCACTTCGGTGTCACATGGCAGCACAAGAAGAATCGAGACTGAAGGAGAATTCGATTCGGTGAAATTCGAGTTCCGAATTTCACCCCTTCGAAATGTTACTCGAACATTCGAGAGTGAAGCGACTCGAGGTTACATGTGCGACTCGATGCATTGCAGTTCATATAATTGTGTTTGCTTTGTATTGCATGGCATATACTGAAATCGAGAATCACTTTGTATGTGATACATTCGACAACAAAATCCAGAGAGTTCCTCTCCTTGATTCCAAGAGAACTACCAAGCACATAAACGCCTATATCTCGCTCGATACGTAGGCGATCGAGGTGATCTACGGCCCGTTGGAAAGCTAAGACAGAGCTCTACTGATTAGTACAAATCCCAGTTCCTGCAAAGTAGAGGAGAATCCTCTACAACAGGATGGGCGGGGATGTGCGCGTAGGTGGTGTGGTTCGTGCACATGCACGCCGCCAATCCGCGGGAGGAGGCGATGCGCGGGTGGTGCCACTTGCGCGTGCGCTACCTCTACCAGCGCGTGCTCTCGTCCGTCTCGCGCATGCAGGTGCGACGCAGAGCGGCCCTTATAGGAGCGACGCAGAGCGACGCGGCATAGCGACGCGGTGACGCATTCTAGCGGCACACGACGATTAGCGCCCCGTAGCGACGGCCCACAGAGTTACGCGTGACGGAGAGACATCTCGCAGAGCGACGCGTGATGAAGAGACGTCGCACAGAGCGACGCGTGACGAAGAGACGTCGCACAGAGCGTCCTGCTCTCCACCGCACTTGTGAGTGTCCTACCCCGTTCGCTTCCTGCTCTCCGCCGCACTTGTGAGTGTCCTACCCCGTTCGCTTCCTGCTCTCCGCCGAACTTGTGAGTGTCCTACCCAGTTCGCTTCCTGCTCTCCACCGCACTTGTGAGTGTCCTACCCAGTTCGCTTCCTGCTCTCCACCGCACTTGTGAATGTCCTACCCAGTTCGCTTCCTGCTCTCCACCGCACTTGTGAGTGCCATCGTTTTCTATCCAGGCCACACAGACGAGCTCTTTGGCTTCGTGCCATGCTGCTTCTATTATCTGTTAGATTATACATCTCTTTGTATGCTACATGGTGTTGGTGATGTGGTAATGATATTGGTGATGCGATAATCGTAATGGTAATGCGGTAATTGTAATGGTAATGCGGTAATTGTAATGGTGATGCGGTTGAAATTGGTGATGTGGTAATGGTAATGGTGATGAGGTAATGGTATTGGTGATGGGGTAATGATAATTGTGATGCGATAATGGTAATGGTGATGCGGTAATAGTAATGGTGATGCGATAATGATAATAGTGATGCGGTAATGGTAATGATGATGGGGTAATGGTAATGATGGTTGGATAATGATAATGATGATGGAGTAATGGTAATGATAATGGGTTAATGGTAATGATAATGGGTTAATAGTAATGCTGATGACATAATCACAATGGTAATGTGGTAATGGTAATGGTCGGAACCCAAGTTTGGCCCAAATCTTTGCCCCAAGGTTGGGTTGGGGATTATTGGACCCTCAAAATTGTTGGCCTAGGCCAGCAATATTGGGGGCCTCCAAGAACTCTCCAACCCAACTTATTGGTGGGGATCAATAATGTTGGTCAATTCCCAACCAACACCCCCCACTCTTGCTCAACTATGTATACCCTCTTCACTTCTAATGAAATCATCAGTTCACCTTACGCTTTGTCACATATTGTGCACCCACCTCCTTTTGAGTCAACTCAAATTCGTCCTTTCTCCCCACCGCCCCACTGCACAACCCTCCCCCCAACCCCCCATTCTCCCTTCTTCTCCCGAGCAGGTGGCTGAGATGAGGGGAGACATGGCGGTGCTGTCAGACGCCGCCACAGGCACCACCATTCTGCTAGCCCTGCCCATGGGGGGAGGCGAGGACGCTGACAGTGGCAGCATGGGGGGTGGGGATTGGGATGAGGAGAATGGTGGGGAACGGGATGGGTGCGGGACAGGGCGTGAAGGGGAGTGTGTAGAATTTACAAGTGTTGCAATACCAGGCATGCAGGAGCAACCATCTGTGCAGCAGGAGCAGGCATCCGAGCAGCAGCAGCAGCAGCAGCAGCAGCAGGCAGCACGAACTCACTCTCGCCTCAAGCCGAGGGTTGACATATTCAAAGCCTTGGAGAGGCCAGGAGAGGCGGAGGGGGTGCTGCCAGTAGTGGCGGTGGCAGCAACAGTGGCAGTGGCAACAGAGGAGCCGGTACCAGCGGTGGGAAAGGCGGGGCGACGGACAGCATGGTCGCACTTGCTCCCCAAGCCTCACTCCAACACAGAGGGTCTGGGAGACGCGGAAGGGGAGCAAGTTCGTGCGGTGGGGGTGTCGGGGCGACGGACAACACGGGCTCACTCTCTCCCGAGAATGCAGGCGCAAACAGAGGCCGCGGAGGAGGCGGAGGTGCTGGTGCGAGCGGCGGTGGCGGGGTGGTCGGTGGCGGTGGTGGATGACAACGCGGTGAACCACATGGTGGCGCGCAGAACGCTGCAGGGCTACAGGGCGCACGTGCTGCTGCTTCCCTCCGGGGAGGATGCAATCCAAGCGCTCTCCTCTGCCTCGCCCTCCGCGCCCATCCACCTGCCGCTGCTTGACCTCCACATGCCGCATGGCATCGATGGGTGAGTGCCTTGCATCACATCACCTGCCTCTAACCTCGCACGTGCTGCTGCTGTGCTCCTCCGGGGAGGAGGCACTGCAAGCACTCTCCTCTACTCTTGAGGCGCCTCAACAAGCGCTCTCCAATGCTACGACCTCCCCGCCCATCCACTTGCTGTCGCTTGACCTCCACATGCAGCCCGGCATCGACGGATGAGTGATTTTCTTCACCTGTCTCTCACCTCACCCACGCCCTCCCCACTCAAGTACCTGCTACTGCTTCACCTCCACATGCTCTTGGTATTGCTGGTCTTTCTTCAGTGTGGTTTTCCTTTCTTGCTATTGCTTGTTTTCTCATTGCTTCTACTGAGAGATTGTGGTTGCTATCTGCTCCTGTGGTTCCCTGTTTCCCTTGCTCCCATCCCTGTTTCCCTTTCCATCATTTGCCTCTCATTTCGCAACAGATTTGAGACAGCTCGTCAGATCCGAACGATGGAGAGCTCACGACGTGCACAGCACAAGTCAGAGGGAGACAAAACCGCCAGTGATGCAGCAGCAGAAACAGCAGCAGCAGCAGCAGCAGCAGCAGCAAAAACAGCAAAAACAGCAGAAACAACAGCAAGTGCAACTGATGCAACCACGCACGAACGCCTTTGTATCATAGCACTGACAGCTGACTTGGATGTGGGCGTGAAGCGGGCGTGCTTGGAGGCTGGGATGGATGGGGCAGTGAGGAAGACAATTGTGGCTCAGGAGCTTCTTGGGGCACTCATAACAGCAGGGTTCGGAGCAGGCGCATTCTGATTTGACTCAACAGTCACCACACGAGAGCACTGACTGCTGACTTGGGTGTGGGACTGAAGCGAGCATTTGTGGAGTGGAGGCAGAGTGGAAAGCTGAGGAAGGTTCAGCCGGGTTCGGAGCCGACGCATTTTGATGTGAGAATCGAGAATGGAATGGATGAACTAGAAACGAGATGGGTACAAGTAGAGAACACAAAAGTGTTGTACCCTCTAAGAACTACCCCACTACAGCCTAAACAGACTATAGCATATATAAGTTTGACACACCCCCATAGGCAAAGTGGGGGAGAACAAGAGGTCACAAGACCAGTCAAGAAAGACAAAGCAAGCTCAGGGTGGATCACAAAGTCACCACGCAGTCTGAGCACAAGCAAATGGCCATAAGGCCAGTTCACATGCAGAGTTATATAAAGGAGAACAAACAATACAGTGAATACAACCTAGCAAGTGTAAGCATGCAGGTATATGTATAAAGAGTACAGTACAGGCAGAGTCAAGAAGAAAGCAAGTGAGGCACAGTAGGTACAAGGCCTAACACAGTACAGAAACGCTGATGATCGCAAGGCTGAAGTGCCTTGGTGAAAACATCAGCAGTGTTAGCCTGAGAGGCCACGTACGCAAGACGAAGATGGCCACGCTGCTGCAACTCTCGAGCAAGGAAGTAGCGCAGAGCAATGTGCTTCGTTCTGTGCTCCAGTCTGTGCTCCTGACACAAGGCCAGCATGACCTTGTTGTCGACGTACAGAACTGGAGGAGAACGAGGCGCCTCTCCCAAGTCGGTCAGCAGGTAGGTAAGCCAGCGTAGCTCCTGTGCAGCCATGGCCCCAGCGTAGATCTCAGCCTCACAACTGGAGCTGAGAACAGAAGAAGAGCGGGTAGACCGCCAAGAGACAGAACCGGAGCCAAGACTGAAGGTGTAACCCTGTGACGACCGCTGCGTAGCCAAGTCGTCAACCCAGGAGGCGTCAGCGTGACCAGTGAGGACAACTCGAGCCCGTCCTCCAAGCACGAGCCCCATGCCCGATGTACTGCACAAGTATCGCAACACCCTCTTCGCAGCATCCCAGTGCACCTTTCGGTGCCTGCCGGGAGCCACGTAGCGAGCCAGAAGGCTGAGAGGGTATGCGAGGTCAGGTCGTGTGCAAGTCATCAGGTACATGAGGCAGCCCACAAGCTCTGGATACGGGCCACTCGGCTCTACGGACTCGTCCGAAGGTGGAGCTGAGAGCGAGTGACCGGTAGGCAGAGGAGTGGACTGTGGTGAGGAGTAGGTGAAGCCGAAGCGCTGAAGGACCTGCTGCACCATGTGTGACTGAGTCAAGGTAATGGTGCGCTGTGCTCTGTCCCGGGTGATCCGCAAGATAGCTTGTGAGCTCACCCAGGTCTGTGCACGTGTGTCTCTTCTGCAGCTCGGACTTCACGTGGGCGAGTGCCTCCGTGTCAGCAGTAGCAAAGACAAGGTCGTCTACGTACACAAGAACGTAGAACGGCGGCAGAGTAGCGTCAGTGCGTAGAAACAGAGAAGGGTCAGCAGTGGAAGGAGCAAAACCAAGAGCAGCAAGAGTCGTCCTGAGCGTGTCGTGCCACTCACGGGGCGCCTGGCGGAGACCGTAGACTGGCCGCCGGAGGCTCCACTGGGTACCAGCAGGAAACGACCCAGTGAAGCCAGGTGGGCGGCGCAGCCAGATCTCCTCGTGCAGGCTGCCCTGTAGGAAGGCTGTGCTGAAGTCAAGCGAGTGGAGCTCGTAGTCACGCTGAGCAGCAATGTGCAGCAGTACCCGAAGAGTGGTCATCTTCGGGGTAGGGGAGAAGGTCTGAAAGAAGTCAACTCCCTGTCGCTGACTGAAGCCATGTGCAACGTAACGCGCCTTGAAGGCAGGCGGAGAACCCGGCGGCCGCTTCACCCGAAGATCCACATGCCACTGACGATGTTTGCCCCAGGTGGGGGAACCTCGTCGACGTAGGTGCCTGTGGACTTCCAGGAAGCCATCTCAGCGTCCATGGCCGCTTGCCACTGAGAGGAGTAGGGACCCTCTATCGCCTCTGCGTAAGAGCGCGGGGTCGGGATGTCTGGTGCATCCGGGTCTCCCTCAGGGGCAAGCAGCATGGACACGAGATGAGGTAAAGCAGCGGCAAAGCACTCAAACTCCTCCTGTCTGTCCTCAAGGACGTCCGTGCCAAGAGCACACTCACCCCCGACGGACGGAGGACAGACAGACACAGACGCCGACGCAGCAACAAGACTAGCGGCGTAGTCTAGGCGACAGGCGGCAGCAAAGTCAACAAGCTCAGCAACAAGAGCAGACGCAGCAGAGGACTCAAACAGAGGGTCAGTGACAGCAGTGGCCAGAAAGCGCGTGACAGTAGGACTAGCAGCACGAAGGGAGTCAGACTCCGGGTCCGGACCGTCAGGAAGAGAGGATGCAGGAGGAGACGGAAGAGGAACACGTTGTGGAGCAGTAGAAGGACACAGTGTCATAGAGCGAGTGCCTGGGACAGGAGGGAGACGCGGACGCGAAACACGACCAGCGTGAACAGTACGGACAGGCGACGCAGAACGAGACGCAGGCGACACAGGACGAGACTCAGGCTCACGACGCTCCGTAAGACCTCTAGTCGGTCTAGAGTAAGGACCGGGTAGTGGAGAGGCCGGCTGCAACTGCGACTGGGACTGGACAGACGGCGGACTCAGGAAAGGAGGAGGAGGACCAGGAGAAGGCGGGGAGCCAAGAACCTGCTGAAGGAGTGGAACGTAGTACGGCCGCGGCCGTGCAGCGCCTTCAGAAACAGCAGAGACAGAACCTGTACCCTCAGCCCCAGGGTCTCCAGTCCCAGCAGCACCTCCAGCACCTCCAGCAGCTCCAGCAGCAGCAGCACCAGCACCAGCAGCACCTCCAGCACCAGCAGCACCTCCAGCACCAGCAGCACCTCCAGCAGATCCAGAAGCAGCAGCACCTCCAGCACCAGCAGCACCTCCAGTAGCTCCAGCAGCACCTCCAGCAGCAGCAGCAACTCCAGTAGCTCCAGCAGCACCTCCAGTACCTCCAGCAGCACCTCCAGCACCAGCAGCACCTCGACAACGCCGAGAGTACCACTCACGAAGCCGCTGTGGAGAGAGGGGCTCCCGCCGCGACGGGACACCTAGAGCACCTCCAGACTCAGCATGCGCAGGCTCAGCACCTCCAGACGCAGTACCCTCAGGCTCCACACGCCCAGGCTCAGCACCCCCAGGCTCAGCACGCCCAGACCCAGTACCCCCAGACTCAGCACCCCAAGGTTCCACACGCTCAGGCTCAGCACCCCCAGTCCCCGCACCCCCAGTCCCCGCACCTGCAGGCTCAGCACCCCTAGCAGTACCTGAGTCGACAGCTACCTCGACCGGCTCAGCAGGGTCTACCTGGGACACACCTGAAGGGGCAGGACCCTGGGGGGGGGAGGGGGTCATCCGGGGGAGTACCTGGTGCGAGGAAGAGCGGTGGGGGGGGGAGAGAGGCAGTGCGGTAGGGAAAGAGACGGTAGTACAACACCGACTCCTCAAACGTGACGTCCTGAGAGGACAGAACACGCCGCGAGGTGGGGTGGTAGAACTGCCACCCGGGTGCGTCAGGAGGGAAGCCAAGGAAGACACAGGGAATGACACGGGATGACAGCTTGTCCGCTGTAGTATCGCGGACAAAAGCTCGAGATCCCCAGACACGGAACGCGGACGCATCGCCAACCTTCCCCGTCCACCGCAGAGTAGGTGTGGTCTCCGGCAAGGAGACACGAGGCTGAAGGTTGATCTGATGCGCAGCGTACTGAACCGCGAACGGCCACAGAAAATGGGGAGCAGCCGCATGGATCATGGATGTACGAGCGACGTCCATGACCATGCCAATGCGGCGCTCAGCAATCCCATTTTGCTGTGGGGAGGCCGGAAGCGTGAACGTCTAGCGGATGCCCTCCGTACGACAGAAAGCCCTCAGGAGGTCGGAGGAAAACTCCCCACCTCTGTCCGAGTGCAGACGCAGAACAGGAAGGTCTGAACCGAAACTCTCACTGATCTGGCGACGAGCACCGCGGATCCAGTCGATCAACACCTCAGGGACCTCACCCTTGCTGCGCAAGGGGAAGACTGTGGTGTAACGCGAGTAGTCGTCAACGACCAGCAGGAAGTAACGCTCGTGACCCTGTCCACGGACGCGGGCTGGGCCCCACACGTCCATGTGAAGAGTCTACAGAGGAGCCTCAGTCGGAGGGAACGAGGAGGAGTGAGGGGCGGCGCGCTGCCTGCCCTCGACACAAGGAACACAGGTGGGGGCAGGCCCCGGAGGAAGGGGAGGGAGGGACTTGGGTAGACCAGAGACAAGGGCACGGGAGGCCATACCTCGAAGACGAGGCAGGGAGGGGTGACCAAGGCGGTGGTGCCAAAGGAGAGTCTCGTGCAACAGAGGACGACACGAGCAAGGGGCAGACACAAGACTCGACCTGGACGCGGCAGCAAACACCTGACTAGACGCAGCTACCTGACCAGACGCAGGGACCGGAGGAGGCGCAGTAGTCAGTGTGTACAGACTCGACCCTGGCCGACGGGTGAACTTGGCCAGGTGGCGGCCCGTCCGAGAGCAAGTGCAGTGGGTCACACGCTGACCTCCAGGGGTGAACTGGTCAACCCACGCGTCCTGGAGGTCAGCTCCACTCACCAAGTTCATAGAGAACGAGGGGAGGTGGAGTCCCGACAGCAAGCCCGACGGGGCCGCAGGACACGGTAAAACTGTAGAGGAGTGTGCAAGGACTGGGCCCCCTGAGGGGTCAGCAAGGGAGACCGCAACAGGCCGACTGAGCGGCGTGAGCGTGGTGCTGTCTCTAAAGAAAGAGCGCGAAGCACCAGAGTCAAGTGTGAAAGTGTGCAAGGACTCAGTAGGTGCAGTACCAGAGAGAGTAGACGTACCAGCACCTGGAGCAGCAGACGCACTAGCACCTAGAGCAGCAGCCGCACTAGCACCTAGAGCAGCAGCCACAGTGCCCGGGTCGGGCGGGACACTCAGGTAACAGTCACCCTTAGTAATATCAGCAAGAGCATACATGGCAGCAAGGATAGCATCAAAATCTAGATCAAAGATAGGCACATTCTGCAGAAGCAGATCATGCCAGCGAGGGAGCTCAACAGCGTCAGGAAACTGGGTACGCCAAGCGTCAGTCAAGCGACCGAAGCAGCGCTGCGTGGTGTGTGGGAGCCCACACACCTCCCCACTACGAGTGCCGGTGCGAAGAACGTAAGTGCAGGGACCTGCACCCCCAGACCTCCCACGCCCAGCGTACCACTCACGAAGCTGCTGAACCGACGGGGTCTCACGGGTGCGCAGCTGCTGCTGGCGCTGGCTGCCACCAAAGCCTCCACGCTGCGCGGCTGCACCTCGACCAGTACCACCGCCGCCTCCACCTCCACCACCGCTGCCGCTGCCTCCACCACCTCCACCTTCGACGCCACGACCTCCACCGCCGCCACTGAAGCCCCCACTCCCGGTACCACCCCCACCTCCACCGCCACCTGCTCCGCCTCCTCCACCGCCTCCGCTGCCGCCCCCGCCACCCCCTCCACCACCCCTGTTCCCCTTGCCCTTGCTGTTGCGGCGTCTCCCACTAGGGGCAGACGCAGCTCCGACCTCCTCAGTGCCAACGAGGTCGAGAGCAGCAGCAGAAGAAACAGAGGGGAGAAGGGGGACAGGGGAACACCCCTCAAAGAAGAGGGTGCGACGGGCGCCGCGAGAAGCACCTACAGCTAAGATACTCTTCTCAGCTGCAGCAAGGCGCTCCTCTAGCAGGTCGACAGTCAGCTCGGTGGGGCAAAGGGAGAGAAAGTGGTCCCTGACTGAAGAGAGAGAGTCAGGGAGGCGGGTGACTAGGTAGTAAAAGGTGATGTACATGGGGGGGGGGTTCTTGGCACAGAACTCAGTGGGAAGGGCAGCGCGGTAGCGGGCGTCACTAGTGCGAAGGTGAGCAACTAGGTCAGCGACTGTGGCAAAGGCAGCAAGGTCAGGGAAAAGGTACGGCAGCATGAGGCGACTGAGGGCAGCAGTGGCAGGGGAGGAGTAGCGTGCAACTACAGCGTCGTACAAAGACTGAGCAGTCTTGTACTGGCCAAAGTGTGCGCGCTCAGCAGGCGGTAGGTGACTACGAATAGCAAGACGAGCAACAGCGTCACGAGTGGTCCACTGCGAGCGAACAGTACTGTCAGTAGTGGCAGTAGGAGTAGTGGAAACACCGGACGTGTGATCGAAAAGGGATACCCCATCCCTAGAATCACACTGAAGAAAGAGCTGTAGGTCATCAACCCATACGTCAAAGTCAACTGCACGTCCCTCAGAGTCAAAGGTGAGAACTGTAGGACTAGCCATAGCAGCAGTAGGAGCAGTAGCAAGAGGAGCAGCAGTAGCAGCAGTAGCAGCAGTGGCAGCAGCGGCGCGACTCGGCTAGGCAGCGCGGCTCGGTTGGGCGGCGCGGCTCGGCTGGGCGGCGCGGCTCGGCTTACCAGAGACAGGTGCAGGGGCGGGCCGTGACTGCAGGGGCCGCGCCAGCAGGGGTCCGGCAGGGGCGCGTCAGCAGGGGCCGGCAGAGGCGCGCCAGGAGTGGCCGCGCCAGCAGGGGCCGGCAGGGTCTCGTCAGCAGGAGCCGGCCGGGGGCGCGCCAGCTGGGGCGCGTCAGTTGGGGCCGGAAGGGGGGGGCGCGAGGAGCCGCTGAGGGGGCCGTAAAAGGGGCCGAGAAGGGGCCGCGACGGGTCGTCAGAGGGGCCGCGAAGGGCCGTTAAAGGGGCCGCGAAGGGCCGTGACGGGGCCGCGACGGGCCGTCAGAGGGGCCGCGAAGGGCCGCGAGGGGCCGCGACGGGTCGCTAAAGGGGCCGCGAAGGGCCTTGACGGGGCCTCGAAGGGCCGTCAGAGGGGCCGCGAAGGGCCGCGACGGGTCGCTAAAGGGGGGCCGCGAAGGGCCTTAAGAGGGGCCGCGAAGGGCCTTAAGAGGGGCCGCGAAGGGCCTTAAGAGGGGCCGCGACGGGCCTTAAGAGGGGGCCGCTAAGGGCCGCGAAGGGGCAGCGACGGGCCACTAAGGGCCTCGAAGGGCAGGCGCGAGGGCGCTGCTAGGTCAAACGCGACACGCGCCTCGGGCAGGTAAGGAAAAAAAAAATATTTCGAGTGGTGGGCCCTAAAAAAAAAAAAAACTCGAACCAGCTCTATACCATGTGAGAATCGAGAATGGAATGGATGAACTAGAAACGAGATGGGTACAAGTAGAGAACACAAAAGCGTTGTACCCTCTAAGAACTACCCCACTACAGCCTAAACAGACTATAGCAGATATAAGTTTGACATTTGAATCTGATTTGACCTCCACGTCACCACCATATGGGTGCGTTTGTGTACCGTAACAGCACTGATGCTGACTTGACCATAACAACACTGATGCGTCTTAACATAAATTCTTCAAAAAAATATTTAAGGATAAACTCACATTCAGATGGTGCAACACTACAATCTTATCGAAGTGGGACCAGGAAATTGCTAGTGCTGTTGGCGACAGCACATTATGGTGATATATTGTTGCTTAAAGCCCGAGTACAGAATGGTAATCTTCAAGTTCAAGATTCTTGAACTTGAAATCGCCAAAAACAGGGTTACCCTACTTGTTTTGGGGAGACTCTCGCGACCCTGGGCAATCTTCCTGCGACATGACATAACTTAGTCACACAACTTAGCCAATCTTCCAAGATATTTAGGTATCCACCTCAACCATCTTAGTCAGTGCACGCTCCGATCCCCCCTTCACGTCGCCGGTCTCGTGTTACAACCCGCGGCACTTACGTTAGTGAACGTGCGTCGCGCTACTCGCGCCTTGCATTCAAGCTCGCGTCGCACACGCAAGCTCTTGTCACACTTGCTGCGGGTCAGCCTCGTGTCACAATCGTACCGTTTTAGGCACGGGTCGCTCACGCGAATGCTGTACAGGTTCGCGTGACTCACGCTGCCGTTAGTCGCATATGTTCCTGCTCTTTCCCACGTCTAGGCGCTTTCCTCGTCGCCCGCGCTTTCCCTCATCACCCTCGCCAACCCTCGCCACCCTCGCCTCTGCTTGTCGCCCGCGTGTCCCGTCCTCGCCCTCGCTTCCCGTCACCCGCGCTTCTCCTCATAACTTCCTCGTCACGCGCTCGTCCCCTCGTCACGTGCTCGTCGCCCTCCCTTCCGCGCGTCGCCCTCCCATCCGCCCGTCGCTCTCCCTTCCGCCCGCTGCCCTCCCTTCGCCTCGTCGCCCTCCCTCCGGCTCTTCCCCTCGCAATGCCCGTCTCCCTCTCTCCCTGTCGCCCTCGCTTTCCCCGTCCTCGTTTTCCTCGTCGCCCTCACCATCCCTCCCGTCCCCTTTCCCATCGCGCACACTAGTCACCCTCCCTTTTCTACCCCTACACACACCCTTCCCTCCCCCCAATGATCGCCTTTCACCCCCACACTGCTTACCTCTCTCCCTCTTCCCCCCATCCCCTTCCCTGCTTCCCCCCATCCCCTTCCATGCTTCCACCCATCCCCGCGCCTTGCTTCCCCCCATCCTCTGACTTGCTTCCCCCCATCCTTTGGCTTGCTTCCCTTCATCCCCTTCCCTGCTTCCCCTTATCCCCTTCCCTGCTTCCCCCCATCCCCTTCCCTACTTCCCCCCATCCCCTTCCTTGTTTCCCCCCATCCCCTTCCCTGCTTTCCCCCCATCCCCTTCCCTGCTTCCCCCCATCCCCTTACCTGTCTCCGTGTTACCCGTTTCCCTGACCCCCTTTTCCCTGTGTCTCCCCACCCTCTGTTCTCCTTTGTTCTCCTTTTCCTCTCTCTCTCTCACTCTCGCCCGTCCCTGCTGCAATGCTGCCCCCCCTTGTGCCTGCGCCTGCTGTCCACGCCTTCCCTCCCACTTCTCCCAAACCACGTCTTTTTTATCATGCGCCCAATTCCTCTCGCTCCTCCACTCACCCCCCATTCCCTCCCCCTTTTCTCCCCCTCTTCCTCGCGGCAGGCCACCGAAGCACCTCATCCACGCCGCTCACGGAGCGGTACCTGCCCACGGCGCACTTCGGCGGGTTCTACGAGATGGGCGCGCAGCTGGCGGAGCTGTGAGCAAGCCTCCTCTCGAGACTACCTTCAGCCTCCCCTGCTGCCCCATACCCTCTGCCGACCTGCGCCCTATGAGGCCCTGCTCTCTCGCCGCCGCCCCTGCGTGTACGGAGGGATTGGGAGCCGCTCTGCCTGACAGCCAGCACTGTGCAGGCAAGGAGCTGAAGGTGGATCATGGGGCAAGGGTAAGGGAGTGTGTTGTGTTGTGTTGCGCGGTGGGGCACAGCTGATCTGTGCTGCAGTGGGCCGGGGGAGAGCAGAGTGATGCAGGGAAAGGCACGGCATGTCTTATGTGGCCGGCCGAGACCCTTATGAGTTGTGGGATCTGAGCTTGGTGTTATTGCTAATGTGTTTCTTGATATGTCCTTTTATGAATCACAGTTTGGTGTCAATGCTTTTCTGCGCCAATTCAGCACTCAGTAAATTTTATATATTTTTAGTCTGAAGTGAAGTTTCACAACACAACCATACAAACATTAGTAAATTAGAAATTGGAAAGATGGTGTTCAGTGTACTGCCTCACTCTTACTCGCGTGAGAGTTTCGTGCAGCCACCATTTCAACCCCAAGAGAAACGTAGTGTGCCCCACCAAGTGGTACGACGGGCGCAGAGCTCTGTCGCACAGTGAGTCGTTCGGGCCACCCATATCCTCCGAAATATCTGTCGCAAAGAATCGTGGCGAAGGCTGTTTCACCCGCTTCCTGAATTCGCTTTCGCCCCACACACATTTTCGAAATACCCCCTTTTTCAGTTTTTCGCCAACACTATTTCAACGTCACATAACTTGAAAAAATACCATGCTGACTTCGGGCTTTAAAGCTCGCGTCTCAGATTTCCAAGCGTTTAACACTTGGTTGGGTTGCCCTGCCGTGATTGGGTAACGAAACGACTGACGAAATATTTGATGAGCTGGTGAAAAAAACACAGCGAACTCCAAAACATTCGAGGCCAAACCAAACCAGGGTGGGTAGGGTTGGGTGGAAGTTGTTGGGAACAAACAATCTTAAGCGCCTCTGTCGTGTCGAAACACCAAGGCACAAGCGAAGCAGAGCATATCGAGGCACCAGCGAGTCAACCCTCGGAGGTTGAAGTAACCGCTGGAGGTTACGCGAAAGTCAAAGGTCAGCGACCTTTGACTTGACAAATGCAGCGCGACAGCAAGGACACACAACTGACTCGACATTGAGCAGTTGCCCGAGTCGCACTGTATCGAACCGCAACAGTAAAACAGTTTAATTATATCTCTTCGTATTCTTTGTACTCTTATATAAACCTTTGTACTTGCTTGTTTTAATCAACTTACTTTGCCCTCACATACCAGCGCAAGGTGGTTCAAGGACTTCATTTAAACGCTTCTGCTACTACATCACTCTACCCAGAGTTTAACCCTACCAAAGATCCTAAGGGGCACTCAGCCCAACATGGTATGAGAGCTGGTTAGGGTTAAAATTATTTCTCCTTAACACCTAATACACCAAGAGACATGTCTACCAGAAAGGAGAGGAGCTCCTCCAACGGCTCTCCTGGTACTACTCCTACTCCACCTCCTGCCTCTGGCCTACAGACAGAGGAAGGCACAACAACGAGACCGGCAGCTGGGTCTACTGAAACACCCGCAAACCAAGGCGCGGGCTTCGATCCAAGCATGATGGAGAAGTTCTTCTCCTTCATGTCCTTCTACGAGCAGCATCAGCAAGGAGCACCTGCGCAATCAAACAACAGCAACAACAACAACAACAACGTGACGCCCATGAGTCTCGATGGCTCATCCTACGCACGCGGGAATCAACAACAGCAACCTACCTTCGCTCCGTACGAGCCCCAGCGCGGCTCCGTCAGCTTCATGCCACAACCACAACCTGCACCGGGACAAGAGAGAACGCTGGACGCACTACAAGTTCAGTCGCAGTTCGCGCATGTTCTAAAACTGCAAACGACAAAACCCTTCGACGGGAAGGATTTCTTTACCTGGTCGTTCGAATTCGAGCTGATGATGGAAGGAGCGCAAATCCTTGGCTTCTTCGACGGGTCCTTGCCATACCCAACAAACGGCACACAGTATGAGAAGCAGCAGTACACCTATCAATCGATGATGGCGTACACGATACTACTGAGGAACATCACTCCAACTCAACAACAAAACATACGGTCTTACCGAGGCTACGCCAACTCCGCGGAGCTCGCGTACAATCACTTGAAGAGCCTGTATCACGCAACAGACAGCGTAAACCAAAGTCGGTTAATGGCGCAGCTGACAACAATCGAAATGAAACCAGGCGAGAAGGGAATGGCGTATATCAGTCGCTGCCGCGAGCTGCGCGACAAGCTTCTTCGATGTGGAGGATCGATTTCAGAGGACGCCTTCGTCACGGTTGTCATCGGCGGTCTTGGTCCTCACTGGCGCTCCACTCGCGCCATACTACGAGCCCACGGGAAAATTTCTGAAGCAGCACTTTGCGCCGAAATCCACGCCGAGCAGCAAGACATGGACCTGCAAGAAGAACGACACAAGAGAAAGGTATCAGTGCCCGAATTCGCGTTTCACACTCAACGGCGCCACAACAACAACAACAATCGACCGAAAATCGTACCTCCGTTCTGCCACCTCTGCAAGACTTCAGGGCATCCTCGTACGCACTGCCCGAATCGACAACAGTCAACGTCGCCGCAACGCCAACTTCGCCCTTCAAGCAGTCAAGTCGCCTCAACGCAAGCAAATCCGACAACTTCAGTACAAGTCTCAACAACATCGACGGGACAACCTGCGAAAGGAACAAGAAACATCGTCAGCTGCATGGCAAGGCTGAGTGACTCCTGCGTAACTGAGTCACCACCATATTACTCACCAGAAGAACAACTCGACAACAGCACGCCTTGCCGCGAGTCACTTCAACCGAACCCGACGTACGCCGCCATCGCTCAAAGCGAGCTGTCCGGGAAGGATACATGGTTCTTGGACAGTTGCTGCGGACAACATATGTGCTCTTCAGGACGTTTCGTTCAACGCGAGCACCAACTTCAACGAGAAGTCGTCATCACTGTCGCCAATAATCAGAACATGCGCACACGACGACAAGGAGTAGTGCAACTTCAGTCACGAGAGACGAATGTCATACTGCAAATGTCCAAAGTCCTAATAGCAGAAGGACTTGGCTACAACTTACTGAGCGTCAGTCAGTTGATGGCGAAAGGCATACATCTGGAAGCCGACAGTACCACCCAGGAGTTCAAGCTGTACCACGGGAAGGGCGGCCTCTACATCGGAATGGCGGTCCTGAAGAACAATGTCTTCGTTCTCGATTTCGTCCCAGACCTGGGCACCGCAGACAGTGACGGGATCGTCACCTTCACATCTTGGACGCACCCGCCGGATCTCGACCCCGACTTCAGTCCGGAAGGCTTTTGGTATTCACATACCATTCCTGAAGCAGAACGAACACGTGCGTTAGTAACAATACAACATTCGGCAGCAGCAGAGACAACATCGGCAGCAACAGAGACAACATCGGCAGCAGCAGAGACAACATCGGCAGCAGCAGAGACAACATCGGCAGCAGCAGAGACAACATCGGCAGCAGCAGAGACAACATCGGCAGCAGCAGAGACATCATCGGCAGCAGCAGAGACATCATCGGCAGTAGCAGGAACAACAACAGTAGCAGCAACAACGACACCACTCCTCGTTGACGAAGCACCACCAACACCCGCACAGCAGCTGAATCCGGCTCAACGGGAAGTCCATAGAAGCGCAAACTTCACCGCCAGCTTCTACTCCAACTCCGACGCGTATCGACGCTCACCCGGACACCGCGCCTCCGAAGACATCTGGCACGCACGCATGGGACACCCAAGCAACACTGTGTTAAACAACACAATAAGAGCAGGAGTCCTTGACAAGGACTCGTTACTACTACTCGACGGCAGAGAACTTCAACGGGCACGAGGAACATGTCTTACCTGCCCCGAAGCCGACTTACCACATCGGCCGTTCACTCCTCATCACAACCCGAGCACACCCGCGTACGCACCACTCGAAAAGGTGTATAGCGACATCCTGTACAATCGGGAACCAGGACAAGTAATATACAACTACACAATCACCTTCATCGACGCCGCCACCCGTTACGTCTGGCATCTAAACCTACCCAGCCGCGACATGGTCCTCGAAGCATTCGCTGCTTGGCTACCAGTAGCAGAAAGAGAGTCGGGCGTAAAGCTGAAAAGCTTCCAGTCTGACGGAGGAGGAGAATACACCTCTCAGCGATTCAAGCAGTACCTGGCGGAAAGGGGAATCAAGCAGCTCCTCTCTCTTCCCTACGCCCATCAGCAGCAAGGTGTAGCAGAAAGAATGAACAGGACTCTGCAGAACAGCATGCGCAAACTGTTGCGTGGCATGCGGCTACCCAACCACCAGTGGCCTGACGCGATGGACCACGCTGTCATGCTGCACAACTTGCTCTCATCTTCATCACTACCGAACAACGCATCACCGCATCTGCTGTGGACAGGAAAACAGGGCAGCACAAAAATGTTACGAGTGTTCGGATGCATGGTACAGTACCGACCCCCAGCAGCACGAGCGGGCCGATTTTCACAACGCGCACAGTGGGGACTACACCTCGGCATCGAAAAGAACTACAACGCGTGGAAAATCTTTGACGTCCACTCCAAGGAAACAGTAGCAGCACGCGACGTCATTTTCTACGAACGACTCATGCTCCAGACATACCTTGCCAACCTGCAAGAGGACCAAGATCCCACAGGTGGTTTTCGTGGTGACCGAGCATTCGCCTCGGCAGCAGACGAAGCTGACTGGGACGAGCAGAATGTGGCCAACGCATCAGAAGAAGCTGGACCCCTTCCGTTCTGCTCCGTCGACGTCCCCATGGACGAAGATAACCCTCGCGAAAGTGTCAACGCCGAAACCTTCTACTACTTCGCTGACAACGGTTACGTAACACCTGCGACAGTCAACACCAACGAAGCAGAACGAGTAGAACCGA